CTCTGCCCTCTGTCACCACTCTGCCCTTGCTAACTGAGGCACCTGTGGATGCAAGTCTTCTAGAAGACAGTCTGTCCTAAAAACCAGTTGTTCTCAAGGGGATGGGATGAGTTGGGAGCACTGGTTCTCGGGGGACAACATCTTTGACATGAAAATGGCTTGTGGTTCCCAAGAAATACATATACGGTGGAACTGTGTACAAGTACACACAAAGTTGTACAGTGTGTCTTGTTACTACAGATTATGAGATGGAACTGTGTATGAGTACACAGAAAGTTGTACAGTGTGTCTTGTTACTACAGTGTCACGGGGCCTGAAGATTAGGAAGTGGTAGAAGGTGGAGGAATACCACTTTTAAAACAAGAGCATCCTTGTGCTTTCTCAAATGGCTTACTTGTCCAGGAATGACCTCTTTCTTAGTTTATGCTGACTCATACCATTTCTGAGGGGAAGGAAGATGTGTTGCTATGGTTCCAAACATAAGCCCAGAACGTATCTTTAACCTTGTCAGTTTTCTTAATATGTGTTTCTACATTGCTTTAATATCAGCAGTCGAACTGTAATAATTTTCTTCTGCCTACAAGCATTTTTAGTAGTGTTTTTCTCTTTGCTAAGCTTAATATAATTGGAAAATAACTCAGCATACAGTGCTGATTATAAAGCATCCTTCTGTATTATCTCCTTGATAAGTGAATCTTCTTTACCATTAATCCTATGTCTTTCCTTGCTCTAAAGCTTTTTATTTATTAGTTATGAAATCAGGATGGTCTTATTAGCTATCTTATAGGTATGTTCAAACCTCATTTCACTTTTATGTTATTTATGCCATTTCCCCTTTATCATTTGTTAAAGATTGGTTTTACTTTTAGTTATGTCTATGTGTATGTGTGTGGATCTGTGTGCACATGTGCACATAGGAATATAGGTGCCTTCCGAGGTCAGAAGAGGACATCCGATCCCCTTGAACTGGAATTATAGACGGTTGTGAGTCACCAACATAGGTGCTGGGAATTGAACCCAGGTCCTTTGCAAGAGCAGCAAGTGCTCCTAATAACTGGGCCTTCTATCCAACTCCAATACTCCTTTACCTTGAATAGGGTTTCAAAATATATTTTCTGTTTTCAATTTTAATTTTAATTTTTTTAATTAAGAGATTTTCTATTCATTTACATACCAACCACAGATTCCCCTGTCCTCCCTGCTCCCACCCCCAATTCACCCCCATTCCCACCTCCTCCAAGGCAAGGTCTCCCATGGGGAGTCAGCAGAGCCTGGTACATCCAGGTGAGGCAGGTCCAAGACCCTCCTCCCAGTACCAAGACTGCACAAAGAATCTCATCATAGGCACTAGGCTCCAAAAAGCTAGATCACACACTAGGGATAGGTCCCAATCCCACTGCCTGGGGATCCCCTAAACAATTCAAGCTATTTGACTGTCTCACTTATCCAGAGGGCCTAGCCCAGTACCATGGGGCTCCTCAGCTATTGGTCCACAGTTCATGTGTTTCCACTAGTTTGGTTAGTTGTCTCTGTACTCTTTCCAATCATGATCTCTATATCTCTTGCTCATAGAATCCCTCCTCTCTCTCATTGATTGAACTCCTGAAGCTCGGCCTGGGACCTGGCCATGGATCTCTGCATCTGCTTCCATCAGTCGCTGGATGAGGGCTCTATGATGACAGTTATGGTTTTCAGCCATCCAATCACCAGAATAGGTCAGCTCAGGTACCCTCTCAACTATTGCCAGTAGTCGATGGTGGAGACATCATTATGGATTCCTGGGGACCTCTCTAGCACTTTCCTTCTCCCTATTCCCATGGTGTCTTCATTTATCATGGTATCCCTTTCCTTGCTCTCCCACTCTGTTCCCTCAACTGAAGAATGGACAAAGAAAATGTGGTACATATACACAGCGGAGTACTACTCAGCAGAGAAAAAACAGTGACATCATGAGGTTTTCAGGCAAATGGATGGAACTAGAAAGTATCATCCTGAGGACACAAACTCAGAAGGACAAACATGGTATGTACTCACTCATAAGTGGATACTAGATGTAAAGCAAAGGATAACCAGACTGCAACCCACAGCTTCAGGGAGGCTAGCTATCAGGGAGGACCCTAGGAAGGATGATGCATGGATTGCCGAGTGATGGAGAAATGGATGAGATCGACATGAGCAAACTGGGGGTGAGGGGTTGTAATGGGGGGCAAGGAGTGGGGAATGGGAACTTAGGGGAGTGGGAGGTTTGAGATAGAATGGAAAAATATATTTTCTTATCCATTTTTTATCTACATATATGTACATATTTGTGCTAAATTAATCTGTATTGATTAAGCCAAGTAGCACTGTCTGCCCTTAGATGCATCAATTGCATGCACATATTACAATGAAAATAAGTATTACATTTAATATTAATGTTTCATACATACATTATCTATAATTTTTATCTTATTTATTATGCATTGCACATATGTGTATGTGTGCGTGCAGGCACACAATGCCAGAGAGCACAGGTGTATGTCGGAAAACAACTCTCTAGTCTCATCTCAGATCCAACTCAGGCTGTCATGCTGGCATAGCAAACACCTGTCCTCAGGAGTCGCCTCAAAGGCACCACACATATTTATTTATTAGTTGTACCCTTTAGAAGTATCTCCAGGGACTGGAGAGATGGCTCGGCATTTTTATGTGCCACTGTTGCAGAGGACCTGAGTTTGGTTCTTAGTAATAGTGTTGGGAGCCTCACATCTGTCTGAAACTCTCACTCCAGAGGCTCCAACACTCTCTTCCGACTTCTGTGGGCACCTGCACTTGCATTCACAACCCTACCCATATATAAATACATTATCAAAATTTAAAAATAAAATCTTAAAAAAGTAGGTGCAGTCAGTTTTTTCTTTGTATTTCACCAGATTACTTTTCCTATAGTTCTCCTCAGGCTTTTTTTGCATGTAAACAGAAATACATGTGAAATAAGTTGTTTTTTTAATAAGTTATTATATCAAATTAGCACAGGCCTTGATATATTTATGTATTTTAATTGTGAGGTGTGCTATTCCAAGTCATACTTCTTGCTTAACTCTAGAACAGGAATTAGTAAATTATAGTCCCCAAGTAAAATTCAGCTGCAGCTTGTCATTGCAAAACAACAACAAAATGTTATATTGGAACACAGCTATGATTCCTCATTTGCACGTGGTCTGTGGCTGCACATGGGCACAGTTGCTGTGGCAGAGATTCTGGCTACACAGATTAAAATGTTCAACCTCTGGTGCTTTATAGAAGAGCTCATTGGCCCCAGATCCATCCATATATCATACTTCTTTTTTATTTCTAGTTAGATGTTGAAAAGTAAGGCTGAACTGCAAATTTTCAAAACCACACTTATCTTTCTTTTAAAGCCTGTTATAACCTGACCTACCTTTGGGTTGATAGTGCCATTTTCTCCAGTGTTCAAGTCAAAGACTTAGAAACCATTTTTTCACTCCTTGGTCCTTTTACAAACATCCTCCCATCAATCAGGCTTGCTAAGAGCTGTGGGAGTATACAGCAGGTGACAGCTAGTGTCTGATAAATCACCCCACAAGATGTATAACTCCCTGTTGGGGAGCCCCACCTGGCAAAGCTGTGGGGTCACTGATGGAAACCAGTTGTTTTCTGTCTGTAATTTTCTTATATGCCACCACTTACCTCCTTAAGAACAGCTGTGGGGTTCTTTCCACAGCCCATTGGTAGTGGGGCTATTTTACATCTTTGGGCCCACTTATAGTTGTAGACGGTCAGGAAGATGATTTCTGTTTAGGCTGTATAATTCTGATGTATAGAAACAATACCAGAATATTATTCTTTACTCACACAAGAAAGTAACAGTATTCTCAGTCACTGACAGTTAATTTTAGACTTCAGAACAAATTCAAAACAGACTAGCTGCCCCTGCAGAAAGTACACAAAGACGAGATCCTAGGTGTTGTTTATGTATGAATCAAGGTCAGAACTGAAGCAATTTTGGTAGATATAACTAACTCCCTGCAGAAACCCTCTTTCTGCGTATAGCCCTACCACCCAAGGTTCAGCCTGCCACTGTTATTGTTAAGTCCTGAATTTCAGTGTCATTCTCTGTCTGGGAAAAAGTTATGTGCAAGGCCAAGCATTTACTCAGTGGCTGGTCTTTGTGACCTAACTAGCTTGAGAAAAACTGTGTGATTTATCAAGTGTTATGAGAATGGGTTGGACCCTGAAAATGTAACATATAATTGTCCAGAGTTTGGCTGTGAGAGGGAAAGGAGAAATGAGAGAGTATGTGTGTGGGTGTGTGAAGGGGAGCTATGAAAAGCGGTGGAGAGAACTGCTGTGAAAATAGATGGGCAGAGGGTAGGAGTGAGTATGTGAGTGTTTGTGGGTATGTGCTGAAAAAATGATGTGAAAGAATGCTATTAGAGCTGGGCAGAGGGCAAGAGTGAGTGTGTGAATGTGTGTAGGTGTGCACGCTAAGTGAGGGATGTGGCTGAATGGGCAGAGAGGAAATGTAACCTACAATTGTCCAAAGTTGGGCAGAGAAGAAGTGTAAGAGTAAAATAATGAGAGAATGAGTGAGTAAAGAGTGAATAAATGATGTAATAGTATGTGAAGGAATGTAACAGAGTAGAGAGAAGAAATGTACAAAAGAGGTATGTGGCTATATGAAGATTTTATGGAGAATGTAACAATGTGGAATGTATTTATATGGAGACAGAGAGATTTTCAGAGAAAGGGATTTTTCTAGATGAAGTAAGAGTAAGTTACCATCAGAAAGTGTATGTGTTTCCTTATTTTACCCCTTAGATAGATAGAAATTTATTTCTAAATACCCTCAGACAGAAAAAGTCTAACCCCTAGATAGAAAAGTTTTTTCCTAATCCCTCACTACTCTGAGGTCTTCTATTCACAACCCTGGAGCAGTTCTGGGGAGCTGGCCTCCCATGGACTGCAACACAGGCTCTCTTATTGGTTTTTTTCAAATATCTAGACCTCACAATCTCCTCAACACCTACTACCCGCCCACTGGCTCAGACATATATAATGTTTAACTGAATTTCTGTTTGAGTATCCTGATTGGGCATCTTTATTATTTACTGTTTTTAGATTAATTTTTCAACATTCATCTAAAGTGATATAGATAAAATGAAGGCAGACTATGATCTTTCTCTGTGTCTGACTCTGTAATTTCCCCTCAAATAGTAACCAAAATGCTTTTTGATAGCCCATGAAGCCCTTTATGACAGCCCTGAACACCCCCACCTTCTTGTCCTTCAATTTTTTCTATCATTATTTATATTCCAGCCTCTGAAGCACCCATACTGCCCATAAGACACACTGTTCTCACAACTTCTGCACTAACTGTGATTTTACCCAGAACCCCATTCAACTTCTACTTCACTCACTCCTTCACTTTTTCCTGTGTTTTCTGGGAGGCTATAGTCGTTATCATTAATTGTCAGATTGACACAACCTAAAATCACCTGGGTGTATCTGTGGAAGATTGTCTTAGTTAGACTAATTGATATGTGTAGATGGAAGTGTCTGTCCCACCATCAGCTCCCAAATATTCAGCAGCTGCTTCCCAAATAATTGACTTGGAGGCTTAATATAAATTATAAATGCTCAGGCAGTAGCTCGGGCTTTTTAGTAAGTAGCTCTTACACTTAAATTACCCCATAATTCTTATTTATGTTTAGCCATGTGGCTTGATATCTTTTCTCAGTATGACATTCTCATCTTGCTTCTTCTACATCTGGCTAGTGACTACTGACTCTGCCCTTCCTCTTCCCATCATCCTTAATTTGATCACCCCACCTACACTTCCTACCTGGCTACTGGCAAATCAGTGTTTTATTAAACCAATTTTAGTGACAAATCTTTACAGTGTACAAGAGGATTATTCCAGACCAGATATGAGAAGAGACAGTCCACTCCGGGTGGTACAATTCCCTAAGCAAGGGGGCCTGAACTACATAGGAGTGGACAAATACAGCTGAGAATAATCAAATAAGCAAACACACACTCATTCTTTCTATGCTATTTACTGTGAGTGTGGTGTGGCCTTCTGTCCCGAGTCCCTACTGCTTTGACTTTTCTGCACTAGCTAAAATAATCCCTTTCCTCCCAGGTTGCTTTTGTCAAGGTATTTTATCATAGCAACTGGAAAGGAAATGAGGGCAGAGGCCTTGAACATATTATTCCTAATTGCAAACATCTGCTACTCTGAAATTTCCTTCAACGTCTCAGTATCCTGTATCATGCTCTATTTTCTCCACAGTATTTAGTTATGATGTCTTTTGTTTTACTTAGATATCATTGTTTATTTTCTGCTTCTCTTTACTGGAATGTAAACATATAGGATAATATTTGGGACATTTTTAACCAATTTATCTTGAGTGCCTAGCCCCAAATAGCCCTTGTGACTAAAAAAAAAAAAAAAAAGACCTTTGGTCACAAATGATTCAATGTAAAACCTAATGGTAATCTGTTCAGTTGATGTATCTCCTTTAAGACATTGTATGTATAATTATATCTGTGTCTATGCAATTTCTTTTGGATATTTTTTATTGTCCCATAACACTACAATTATTGAAAATGTCTCCAAAATACCATAGCATTTTAAACATATTTTGACAATATAGTATTATTATTAATTCTTTGAGAATTTCATATATGCACACAATGTATTTTGATCATATTCACCCCCACATCCTCACAGAGCCTCCTTATACATCCCAACTTCATATACTCTTCTTTAATAACACAACTTGTGCTGCCCATAAACTCATGGGTCTGGTCATGATGGTCAATTTACCAAGAGCCATGCCATTAGAGGAAATGGACTGTTTCTCCCCGAGAAGCTGTTAAATATCAATATTTCTTTAGACAGTTGTGGGGCTCATGAGATCCATCCCTTCTCCTGCTGGACTATTGACTGGATTGATCTTGTGCAGGTCTTTTCTAAGTAACCACAGTGGCTGGGAATTCCTGATTGCAGTGCTCTAGTCATATCCCAGGTGTTCCCCAGCCTCTGTGTTCTTCTTCTACGCACTTCTGAAGGGTATAATTGACATACAGATATTCCCTTTGTGGCTCGGTACTTTACAGAAAGTTATTCCTTGCATATTAACCAGTTGTGAGTTCCTGCATTAACTAATATCCACTGCATAAAAAAACTTCTTTGATGAAGTATGAGAGCATCACTAAACTATGGATCTAGAGATACTAATTTAGAAGGCAGTTTGATACCATGCCCATTTAGCAAAATAGTAACAGATTTCCCCTGAGGCCTATGAGCTACCCATGCATGAGTTCTTAACTAATTTATAGTGCCCATAATGTGTTTTCTCTTGTGGGCAGGCCTTAAATCCAATCATAAGCAGTTAGTTACCCCCATAACAATCATACCACTATTGCACCCATGGTCATTTGTACCACTGTGATCATTATTGTAGTTCATAGGGTTCCTACAAGGGTAAGGCTGTTGGTTTTTCTTCCCAAGCCACTCGAATAGCACCATCTGGCATAGTGAAAGCTGTCCAATACAGAGGAAGATTTGTGGTTAGAACCAAGTTGATTTCTCCACGTCATGTAACCAGTGTGTGACATTTCAGCAATAAGGGTTTGGCATAATATTCTGTCTGGTTGGCAACCAAGAACAATGACAATTGTGCAATAGCACATTTCCTTGTAAGACCACATCAGTGTCGTGAACGTTGGATCACTGTTTGTCCAGGCTTCCTTGTAAATACTGAACACAATTTTCACATGCCACATTGATTTATTGATGTACTTTCTCCTTCATCTGACATTGCAGCATTGTAGGACAAAGCTGTATTAGAAATATTTCCAGTCTGTCAGCATTACAGGATTGTTTTTAACTATGGATTTTGTTCTTTCACAATTTTAAACACATACACTATGTATTTTGGTCCATTCACCCTCCTCTGTGATCTATTGACAACCCACAGATTTGTGGAGAAAGGAGGCATAGTATCTAGTTGGTCACCCACTGATGATTCCAGCAATCGCTAATACTTAGTGCTGGATTCAGGACAACACAGATGGTAATGACTCGGCTTTATGGGAAACTAAACAAAGCCCAAACTAGCCACGTTGTTTTGAGAGTCCCCTATGTACTGGTGTCATTTGCAAGCTGTCTCATCTAAGTCCACAGAGCCAGTCTCAGAAATTTTACCATTTTATGAGTAGTCTTGCCATAAATCGAACCCCATTTATGTTTATGATAACCGCTCTTATGAAGACTTCACGTCTTACTCTAGGTTCTTTAAAAAGCAGAGCCTGAGACAAAGATTGTAATGCTAAACCTGCATGGGAGATGTGCAAGCTTGAGGTGGTGACAGGGTAGAAAAACAATAGCAGGATAAGGAAAGGGCAATGGAGTAACCAACTGCCTGGCCGTGTCCCTGATGACTGAAAACAGAGGCACCTGCAGAAGGATTCTGTGCATATATTCTAGAATGCAGGAAGTTCTTTGAAGGGTTAGAAAGAAAGGTCATAATTAGCATACAAAATTTATAGGCTTCACTCTGACACTGTTATGAATGTATATTATTGTATTTTTAATAAAAATTATTTACTTCTGTGTTTGAACATTTTACTTGCATAGGTATGTGAGTACCACCAAGTATATCTCTGGTACCTACAGAGGTCAAAAGAAGGTGTAAGATCCACGGTAAGTGCAGCAGAAAGCTACTGTGTGAGTGCTGGAAACTGAACCTGGGTCCTCTGCAAGAGCAGTAAATCTTCTTAGCCACTGAGCCACCCTTCAGCTCCCACGTTTCTGTTCCTATTGCTCTCTCTTCCTCACCCCCACGGTGAGCCCTCACCTTTTTCCTCTCCAGTGGCTCCTCCTTCTGCTCTCATGTCACATATTCCATCACCCCCCCCCCACCATTCTGATCACTTCCACTTCTACAGCTCTACCATGGTCCTCCTTCTACATGAAAACTCTCTCTCTCTCTCTCTCTCTCTCTCACACACACACACACACACACATACACACACACACATTCAAAACTAGATTCAACGTACGAGGAAAAGAAAAACACATATGCTTGTCTTCCTGGGTCTGGCTAATTTCACTTAACACAATGCTTTTCAATTACATCCATTTCTTTTTTCTAAAGTATTAGGATTTAATTTTCCTTTAATGCTGCATAAAACTCTATAGTGTACACATAACAAATTGTTTTTAGAAATTCATGTTAGTGGGATGTCTAGGCTTGTTCCCTTTCCATGGTAAGTAGTACAGCAATAAACATGGATGTACAATTAGGTCTCTAGTAGGATGTAGAGTCCTTCAGAATATATGCCCAAGAGTAAAACAGCTGGGTCATATGGTAATTCTATCTTTAGTTTTTGAGGACCCGCTAAAGTAACTTCCATAATAGCTATACTCCACTTTAACTTCCCATCAACAGTGTGTAAGGGTGCTTCTTTTCTTACATCCTCACCAGTATTTGTTGTGGTTGGTTTTATTGATAATGTCCATCCTGAGTGTCAAAAGATGGAATGTCAAAATAATTGTAGTGTGTGCTGTACTGAAGGCTAAGGATATTGGAGACTTTTTCTTTTATTGAAAATAGGTTCTTTTCTCACATAATATGTCCTGATTACAGTTTCCCCTCCCTTTGCTCCTCCCACTTTGTTCCCATTTCCCCTCCTCTCTGGACTCAGTCTATTTCTATCTCTCATTAGAAAGCAGCAGGCTTCTGAGGGATAACAACACAGTGTAACAAAATAAAATAGAGTAAGATAAAACAAAAACCA